AGTATACATACTATACATTTTGTTCTGTACCTTGCTTTTTTTTTACTTAACAATGAGTCTTGGAGATCCTTCTATATCAGCACAGATATCATTCTTTTTAACAACTGTATAATTTATTGTAGGGACATGCCATAATTTATTTAGCCAGGTCTCTATTGATGGATGTGGATATCTAGGGTTGTTCTAGTCATCTGCTATTACAAACACTTGAACGACCATATGTATATTTAAGGGCCCAGCCAGTGCAATGCATCCTCAAACTATTTTTGGCCACTGCATGCATGTGGGATCTTAGGTCCCTGACCAGGGATCGAACCCATGCTCCCTGCAGTGGAAGCATGGAGCCTTAACCACTGGACCACCATGGAAGTCCCATCGTCAAACTATTTTATTTTGGCCACTTTGATAGGTTAAAATGCTACTTTATAGTCTTAATATTCATTTCTCTTATAAACAATGAGGTTGTGCGTAATTCATATTTTAAGAGCCATTATCACATCATTTTGTGATGTGATATTTTATGATAGCACTTACTGAGGTATAATTTACATACAGTGAGTGCACAAATCTTATGCAAACAGCTGGATGAATTTTATAACATATTTTGACACCTATGTGACCACCACCCAGATTGAAATCTAGAGCATTTTGATTGCCCCTGAAAGCTCCCTTTTGCCCTCTTCCTGTCAGTATCACCCCAAGGCAACCGCTACTTTGACTTCTGTCACTACAAATAAGTGTTGTTTATTCTTGAACTTGATATAAAAGGAATAATACAGTATGTGCTCTTTGAGTTTCAGTTCTTTCACTCAACTCCTTTTTGAGATTTATTGGTGTTCTATTATGACATCATTTTATTTTTTAATTAAAAAAAAATTTTTTTTGGAGTATAGTTGCTTTACACTGCTGTGTCAGTTTCTGCTGTACAGCAAAGTGAATCAGCCGTATGTATCCCCTCTTTTTTGGATTTCCTTTCCATTTAGGTCACCACAGAGCACCGAGTAGAGTTCCCTGTGCTATACAGTAGGTTCTCCTTAGTTATCTATTTTAGACATAGTAGTGTATATATGTATGACATCATTTTAAATAGCAGCAAAGAATAAAATATATGTACATGCCATAGTGTAATCAATTCCTTGTATTAACCAGTCCCCTAAATGTAACTCCTTTCAGTTGTCTTCAATTTCTCATTATTATAAGCAGTGTTGATAATAAACATTCTTGTAGCTAAATATTTGCTACAAATATTCCCCTAGTACAAATTCTTAGGATTAGAATATCTGGGTCAATGGATATGTACAATCCAAGGATTTTGATTATGCATTTTTGAATTGCCCCTTAGAAGTATGGATGTACTGTCCTACCAGAAAAGAATGAGCATGCTCCTTTCGAAGAAGTTATACCCCCTTGAACCCTCATCTACACTGCATATTACAATTAAGTTTTTGTTTTCTAGTTTGATAGGTGAAAAATGATGTTACTGTTTTTTTCTTCAAAAATGTTGATCATCTTTATGTTTATTGAACATTTGTATTTCTTCTTCTGTTGTTAGTACCTAACTCTTGTCTATATTTTTCTGGTTAGTTTTGTCCTTTGTTACTAATTTATGAGAGTTCTTTATGTAGTAAGAATATTAATATCTTTGTTTAAAATTTTTTCTTATTTAAAAATTATGTATTTTCATTTTGGAATAGTTTTAATCTAAATCAAAAAGAACAACAACAGCAAAAAACTCCTAAAATCCCACTGTCCAAGGATAGATACTGTTAACACGTTTTTCTGTGCAAGCTATACATATATACATATATATAATTTTTTTTACAGACATGGACTAATCCTTCATATACTCTTTTGTGTGTGTTTTTTTATACTGCATACTATTTTAAAAACCACTTTTTTCTTAAAATTATTTTGTGCGTACCTTGTCATTACACATTTTTCTGTAACATCACCTATTCTATTTTCTTTTTTTAATTTCAAAGTAATACATTGTCATTGTAAAATATTTGCATATCACAGAAAAAATGTAGTAAGCATAAGTTCCTGTCATTCTGCTCTCCAGTCATAACCACCATTAACAGATCTATATACAGTCTTACGTGTCTTTTTTCTAAGACTGTTCTATCCATGTACTTTTTAAAAATGTATAATCACGTTATACAAATTGTTTTTATTTTTTCACATGATCAGTCTTGGACATGTCAATATATGTAAACCAACCTTACTCATTTTTTTTTTTGCGGTACGCGGGCCTCTCACTGTTGTGGCCTCTCCCGTTGCGGAGCACAGGCTCCGGACGCACAGGCTCAGCGGCCATGGCTCACAGGCCCAGCCGCTCCGCGGCATGTGGTATCTTCCCGGACCGGGGCACGAACCCGTGTCCCCTGCATCGGCGGACTCTCAACCACTGCGCCACCAGGGAAGCCCCAACCTTGCTCATTTTAATGGGGGTAGATTATGGAGGTATCATACCCGATATCTTCTTGATGGATGTTTGAACTGTTTCTAGTTTTTCTTGGATACAAACGGCTGCAGTGAACATCCTTCTACACACATCTTTAAGTGCTTAAGCAAGTGTGCTACACACATAAAATAAATTCCTAGCATTGAAATCGCTGGGACAGAGTATGACCAGCATGGACTTTTAAATATTTAATAGAATTGTCCTCCAGAAAGCCTCTATCAGTTTACAGTACTCCCTTAGTTGTAGAGAGCACCTTCACAATTTCTTTCTTTGTGGATTCTGTTTTTTGGGCTTCAGAATCTTTCACCACAGAGACCAGATAAATATTCCAGGTAGATATTTATCATAAGCCAGATTTAAAAAAATTTTTTAATGTTAAAAAATATTTATTAGTATAAATAATATTTTCCTTTTTGCAGAGAAGTAAAAAGAAGGAAACAAAATAATACACTATCGTCTCACTCTCTTTGGCATTAATAAAACAAGACAAAACAAAACACTTGTACATGGTTTAAAAATGTAAACTTTCCGGGATACAGACTGAGAAATGAAAGCCTCCTCTCTCCCAGTTTCTCTCCCCCAAATAACCACTGTTAATACTTTTTTTTTTTTTTTTTTTTGCGGTACGTTAATACTTCTATATAATTCCTTCTGGAAAAAAATTCTCCACATGTTGATGCAATATTGTAGATATACCTAGACCCACATCTTCAGCTTTAGCCAACTTTTATGATTTCTTTTTTTTTTTTGAACCGCAAAGACTGTTTATTTGACACCAATAGCATACATCATAGTAAAAAGGAAACCAGTGATCCCAATTTAATGTTGTTTGGGGGACTCTAAGATAAAATAATAAAATAAGTGGTATTAACAGTGGAAAGAAAGAGACAAAACTATTACATGCATATGATTTCATACTTGGTAACTCAAAAGACTGAACAAAGAAGCTAATAACATTAATAAGATATTTTATTATGTGATTGGATAGAAAATGAATAAATTGAAGGACCTATTATGTCCCAGGATCCAAAAATACACCTTATAATAAAGTATGACTTTTCTTAATTAGTTAAAACGTGTCTCCCAAACTCTGGTGTCCATAGATATGAAGGTTTACATATCAGTTGAAGAAAGATGGACTCTAGTAAAATAATTTGACAACTAAGTCATAGTCTCTTTATACCGAATGACGGGAAAACACGACTGAGTAGTTTGTCACTTATGATGGAGAACAAGCATAGTCACATTTAATCTTACCAGAGATCTTCCCTTTAATATGACTAGATAGCAAATATATTCTGTTTGGCTCCCTGGGTTGTAAATATTTTGTATCTTTAGCATTCTTATCAGCACATGTGATTTATAACATATTATCTGAATTAAACAAAGTACTTGGAGGTCTGAGTGACTTGCTTCACAGTTTCTCTTAACTTAAAGCTGCTTCCCTAAAGGGAGATCTATATTTCTTTTTTTTTTAATTAATTAATTATTTTATTTTTGGCTGCATTGGGTATTCATTGCAGTGCGCGGGCTTCTCATTGCAGTGGCTTCTCTTGTTGCGGAGCACGGGCTCTAGGCGCGCGGGCTTCAGTAGTTGTGGCTCACGGGCTCTGGAGCGCAGGCTCAGTAGTTGTGGCGCACAGGCTTAGCTGCTCTGTAGCATATGGGATCTTCCCGGACCAGGGATCGAACCTGTGTACCCTGCATTGGCAGGTGTATCCTTAACCACTGTGCCACCAGGGAAGTCAGAAACCTAATATTTCTGATTTCATATATTCTTTTCACAAAGAGAGAGCTTGTGTTAATATTTCCACAACAGCTCAGTAGTTCGGTATTTGTGTATTTCATTTACACAATAGGCAACATACTATACATCTGTCCCTAACTTTGCGTCTTTCACTTAATACATCTTCAACACCTTTTCATATCAGGACATATGGATCTATTGAGGAAGATATTTTTTAACTTAGTGGTAGATTTTTTTTTTTTTTTGCGGTACACGTGCCTCTCTCTGCCGTGCCCTCTCCCGTTGCGGAGCACAGGCTCCGGACGCGCAGGCTCAGCGGCCATGGCTCACGGGCCCAGCCGCTCCGCGGCATGTGGGATCCTCCCGGACCGGGGCACGAACCCGTGTCCCCTGCATCGGCAGGCGGACCCTCAACCACCGCGCCACCAAGGAAGCCCCCAGTGGTAGATTTTTTAATGTTAATATATTGTTCTTCACTCTCCACAGCCTGTGGCCCTCTTGTCTTTTCCCATTTGGCTTCCCAGGCTGGGGGTCTGGGATGGTGAGTGCTAAATCATTACACCAAGACTGAGACCCACTCGTGCAGTCTCGCTGTGTGACACTCCTCAGTGACATTCCACCCCACAGACACAACTCCTGATGTCAGTACTAAATTTTGCCTCTCGTTGGTTTCCCTCATCCCCATAATTGTCCACGTGTACAGAAGGTTGAAGAACGGGTGCCTTTTCGGGTGTTTCTCCTCCCTCACACCTGCCTGCTGATGTCTGCCATCTGTTATTTCCATTCCAGGGGAAGCCATATATCTTCGACCGTGTATTCCCTCCAAACACGACTCAGGAGCAAGTTTACCATGCGTGTGCCATGCAGATTGTCAAAGGTAATGAATGTATTTTTAGAATGTACTTTTTTCAGGCTCCTCATTCCCTACCCCACTTCTCTCTACCAGTGTTCTTTCTCTGCCATCTCTTCAGATGTCCTTGCTGGCTACAATGGCACCATTTTTGCTTATGGACAGACATCCTCAGGGAAGACACATACTATGGAGGTGAGGGTTCTGACTTTTATGGGAATGAGGAGCTGGGAGTGTTAATAGGAGGCCAAGGAATCTCAGTAGGGAAAGATCTAGAAATTGAGGGCTGCCTGGTACAGAGGATGAACGGAGGGCAGCGTTATAGTGGAAGTTTAATGGAATCCCTTCAGCCTGCTGCAGTTCACCCTCCTTTCCACTACTCCAGTTTTCTTCTTTTCACCTGGAAAAGCAGCAGCAATGAAAGTCCAGAGAGCTGCTCACGTCCCTCCTCCTTCCACTAAAAGGTAGTGACCACCCCCTAAGTTAGGATAGTCTCCTTAGCAGCTGTTATCTCTGTGTTCATCTGCATACCGCCAAGTTGTCTGATCCCTCCTGAGCCCAGCCTCATTCCAGAATACCCTTACTCCCCAGGGAAAGCTGCACGACCCTCAGCTGATGGGAATCATTCCTCGAATTGCCCAAGACATCTTCAACCACATCTACTCCATGGATGAGAACCTTGAGTTCCACATCAAGGTGATCAGGGCATGACTGCTGGGCATCCTCTTATGAGACTGGGAGGGGAAGATCTAGTGTGAACCCACTGAGATCCTGGCGCCCCAACTTATTCTCCACCCTGGTTACCTAAGTTCTTCTCTGCCAACATAGTCTCTTCTGCCCTTTCCCTCCCACCACCACCATTTGAGTGGGTTGCGTTAGCCTGAGATCCCTGTATCAGATTTAAGATAGGCCCTCTTCACTTCATACTTCTCCTTTCTCCCCAACCAGGTTTCCTACTTTGAGATTTACCTGGACAAAATCCGCGACCTTCTGGATGGTGAGTGGTGTTTAACCCCGGTGGGTGGGGTGAGGAGGGCAAGGAAGAGAAAGATCACATTGCTTTTGGGCTCTTGGGTTTTGGTACTGTTTGGCGAGTGATGCAGCAGGCACACAAGGACACACACACTTGTACTCATGTCCCTTGCCTCCACTCACCAAGAATTTCCCAAACCGAAAGGGTCAGAAGATGAGCTTAGATGCCCAGGCCCACATATAAACAGCCTGAGTCTAGCTGCAGCCCTGGGGCTGGAATCCTGCAGGAGGAAAAACAGCCTTCAGCGCGTGCAGGGGGTTTAATCTTCACAGGGGAGTCTTCCTCCCTCTTGCACATAGAGGAATCCACCATCCGAGTAGACTGCAGTGTGCAGGGGTTGGGGGGGTGGGGGGCTGGAAGTGCTGGCCTTGCTCACCCTAAATTGTCTTGATTCAGTGACCAAGACAAATCTGTCTGTGCACGAGGACAAGAACCGAGTGCCGTTTGTCAAGGTGAGAGTGGGGATGGGACACCCAGGTGGGGCCAGTGTATTGAGAGTGCAGGTGTAGGAGGACGGTAGACCAAAGGCCCACCCAGAAGTTGGAGGGCGGACATCCTGGTGGGGTGAGACATGCCAAGGGGCTGGGGAGAGTCCGGAGCCCAGGAAGAGGCACCGTCTTGAGAGGTCATTTGGTCACTGTGCAGGTAATTTAATTTGCAGATCAAAGTGCATGGGTCACTGTCCATTTGCCCCCTACAGGGTTGTACTGAGCGCTTTGTGTCCAGCCCAGAAGAAATTTTAGATGTGATTGATGAAGGGAAATCAAATCGTCATGTGGCTGTCACCAGTGAGTGGGGAGATAAGGGGATCTTGACCGTGGGGTCTGCCTCTCCTCTGTGCCCTCTGGGGCTGAGGGACGCGAAAGTGAGCAAGGGAAGGCTGTGTCTTGCAGAGGAGGAGGGACGCTTGTCTGTGTGACCCTGAGACCTGCTGCCGGGGAGACGTAGGGGCTAGGCTAGTCCCGACGGACACCCCCTCTCTTGGCGGGTGGAGGCAGTGGTCCGTGGAATCCGGGGCTGAGGGCTTCCGTTACGCAGGGGGTGGTACGGGGACTGTTTCATCCTCCCTCCTACAGACATGAATGAACACAGCTCTCGAAGCCATAGCATCTTCCTCATCAACATCAAGCAGGAGAACATGGAGACCGAGCAGAAGCTCAGTGGGAAGCTGTATCTAGTGGACCTGGCAGGGAGCGAGAAGGTTGGGGGTCCTGTCGGGGTGGGGTGGGCAAGGAAGGAAGCCTTGGAGGGGGGTGGCCTTTCTGTAAATCAAAATAACTTTCTTATTGAGCTAGAATTCACATACCATAAAGTTCACCCTTTTAAAGCATATAATTCAGTGACTTTCAGTATGTTTGGCAGGTTGTGCGTCATCACCACTAATTCCAGAACATTTTCACCACCTGTTGACAGTCATGCCCTCTTCTCCCCTCCCCCATCCCCTGGCAACCACTAATCTACTTTCTGACTCTGGATTTGACTTTCTGGACATTGCACATAAATGGAATCATATAACACGTGTGTGTGTGTGGGGGGGTGAGGTCTGTAGCAAGAGCGTTTAGGGAAACAGAGGAAGGGCCTTCTCTGTCCTTTCCCTCTCCCCGTCTCCTTGGACTAAGCCACCTTACGTGGAGAAGAGGTGGGGAGAACCCACTCCCTCTGCAGCCGCTCACGACATACTCACCCCTTCGTGCCCTGGTAGGTCAGCAAGACTGGAGCAGAGGGAGCCGTGCTAGACGAGGCCAAGAATATCAACAAGTCCCTGTCAGCTCTGGGGAACGTGATCTCTGCGCTGGCTGAGGGCACAGTGAGTGCTCCTTAGGTGTCCGCAGCCCTCAAGCCCCACCCCGTCTTCTGCCTTCTCCTAATGCCCCACCTCATCATGCCAGTTCATGGGTTGCTCCGCCCCTAGTCAGCACCACCGTCCCTTCTTTATTTTTATTTTTTAAATTTTTTTGGCTGTGCCATGCGGCTTACAGGATCTCAGTTCCCTGACCAGGGATTGAACCTGGGCCACAGCAGTGAAAGCCCGGAAGCCTAACCACTAGGCAACCAGGGAACTCCCCCACCATCCTTTCTGATTCCCCCGTTGAATTTTTTTTTCTGATTTGCGGCCTCTCTCTTTCCCCAGAAAAGCTACGTTCCATATCGTGACAGCAAAATGACACGGATTCTCCAGGACTCCTTGGGAGGAAACTGCCGGACAACCATGTTCATCTGCTGCTCACCGTCCAACTACAATGATGCGGAGACCAAGTCCACCCTGATGTTTGGACAGCGGTCGGTGGCAGGGTCCCCTAACTCCCTGCCGCAGCTCCTGCAGCGCTCTCCCCTCAGGGTCTCGTGAGCCTTAATGGAGGTCTCATCTCTTCGTTCTCCTCTCCAGGGCAAAGACCATTAAGAACACTGCCTCCGTGAATCTGGAGTTGACTGCCGAGCAGTGGAAGAAGAAATATGAGAAGGAGAAGGAGAAGACAAAGGCTCAGAAGGAGACGATTGCAAAGCTGGAGACAGAGCTGAGCCGGTGGCGCAGTGGTTAGCAACGGGTCCAGTGGGTGCAGGGAGCCAGAGGGGGCTCCTACGATCTCCAAGGGGGGCTGCGTTTCCGGAGGGGTGCAGTAGAGCAGTCATGAGAGAAAGCGAGAGCGGCTTGACTGCCTTTACCCCCACCCCCCGAAAGGTTGACGGTCCATTTGGCAAGAGAGATGGAGGCCTGGAGGTCTCCGCATTGTACAGTGAGGGAGGAAGGACCCTCGGATGCAGCTGTCCCTTCTCCCATCCCTCACCTTGTTCCACCCCTTTGCCAGGAGAGGACGTGCCAGAGACGGAGCGCCTGGCTGGGGAGGATGCTGCCCTGGGAGCTGAGCTCTGTGAGGAAACGCCCGTGAACGACAACTCATCCATCGTGGTGCGCATCGCGCCTGAGGAGCGGCAGAAGTATGAGGAGGAGATCCGCCGCCTCTACAAGCAGCTTGATGACAAGGTAAGGACAGTCGGGCAGGGCACAGAGGTGAGAGCCCAGTGGGATGGTAAGTGAGGGATTAAAGAAGTAGATTATCCTGCTGTTTTTCTGATTTTAAAAGAGATGAATGTTCATTATTGAAAATGTGGAAGATAAATAAAAATACATAGAAGAAAATTTAAATCATCTCCTCCCACCATTCAGAAATAAAGCCACGCAATTGAGATGATACCATATATGTAACTTTGCATCCGATTTTTCCATTCCTCATTATATAATGAGCAATTTCCTACTTTGTTAACAACTCTTCATAAAAGTGTTTTAAAACAGCTGCCTAACAGTCCATTTATCAGAATGTATTTAACCATTTACTTAGTTACAGGCCTTCTAGGGTTTTTTGTTTGTTTTTTTTGTTGGTTGGTTGTTTTTGCTATTATAAATCGCTCTGAAATGACTATCTTTGTCTCTTGTGCGTAAGACTTTGCTTTGGAATGATTTGATATGAATGGAGCGCGAGAGTGGGATTTCTCAGTTAAAGGATGTGAACGTTTAAAGGCTTTTGCTGTGCATTGTCAAGGTTATACCAACTTCTAGGAAGAAAGGGATTAAAAAAATGAGGGCAGGGGTCAAGGAAAGAAGCCGAGGGAAAGACCCCTTTCTTTTTTTAGGATGTGGAGTTTCTAAATCAAAGCCTAAACTAGCTGGATTTGTATCAGGATCCACGTGTACCCCAACCCTGTAAGTCTACACTGGAAAGAGTAGCTCCCTTCACCCCGCCTTTACCCCTTTTGCCTCCAACAGGATGATGAGATCAACCAGCAGAGCCAACTCATAGAGAAGCTCAAGCAGCAGATGCTGGACCAGGAAGAGGTAACGGGAAGGAGGGCAAGACACGAGAGGAGAGGGTTGTGTGTTCACCCCTGAAAGGCATCAAAAAGACCTTTTCCTGATAAGATGGAAGAAGGGGCATTCTGCTTAGGGCTGAGTCACCCTCCAAGACTCTAGAAATCTGGAAACTTAATTGGGGTTTTGCTTAAAGCACGGATGCCGGAGTCTGGGTGCTTCTTCATTCTGTTGCCCTACTTCTGTGAAGCGGAAAGCCCACTTCCTCTTGACTCTTGCTTTGGCCCTTGCTTCTCTCCTAGACCTATACCTGGGTGGGGGGCTCAGCTTCCCCAGACCAAGGGGCCGTCGAAGTGGTCGCCGGCAGAGGACTTCCTCACGTGGCTCGCCCCTCCCTTGCAGCTGCTGGTGTCCACTCGAGGAGACAATGAGAAGGTCCAGCAGGAGCTGAGCCACCTGCAGTCGGAGAACGACGCCGCGAAGGACGAGGTGAAGGAGGTGCTGCAGGCACTGGAGGAGCTGGCCATGAACTACGACCAAAAGTCCCAGGAGGTGGAGGAGAAGAGCCAGCAGAACCAGCTTCTGGTGGATGAGCTGTCTCAGAAGGTGGTGAGTAGCCGGCTCGGAGCTCCCTGGCCTCAGAACATCCTCCACATCCAAAGGGACCTCTGCTTCCTGATGGGGCAGGATCACGTTTGCACCTTTGCACTGCCGTTCAGTGTGTCGTGGGACACTCCCCCATCCCGCCACTGCACTTGGCCCTTCTGACCCCTCTCTCTTCCAGACCCTTCTGCAGGGCTTGTGTTCTCTTCATCGCAGCCATCAGGGTCATGCATGAAGGGAGAGGCCTCCGCCTGGGCTGGGGAGGGGAGCAGGAAGATGGCGATGGGATGACCTGAAGGGCTGTCCCCAGGCCACCATGCTGTCCCTGGAGTCTGAGTTGCAGCGGCTACAGGAGGTCAGTGGACACCAACGAAAACGAATTGCTGAGGTGCTGAACGGGCTGATGAAGGACCTGAGTGAGTTCAGTGTCATCGTGGGCAACGGGGAGATTAAGCTGGTGAGTGGAGAAAGAGGCGGCAGCCTTGTTCAGGTCATTCTCGTTCTGGGCCCTGGTGGGAGGTGCCGGTGAGACAATCCAGGCCCTCAGGGATACTGGGAAGGCGGGGTGCCAAAGATCCAGGAAACACGCCTGCAAACTGGACACAGGAAAGCAGGTAGAGGTTTGCATAGACTCAACTGAAATACACATTCTAAATCCACACACCAACTGAAATTCACATTGCTGAATAAAGAAGCAGTGGAGATGTGCTTACAGCAGGATTTGGAGATGGGAGCACACAGTTAGGAATGACATATGCAGATCTGTGGCAGTGACAGTGGCCCGTCTGGGTGACCAAGCAGGTCAGTTTGACTACAGAATATGCTATTGCTCTACAGGATGAAAGAAGGTGACTGTCAGAATTGGATCTTTAAGCACAGAGAGAGGGATTTAGTGTGAAATGACAGGTGATACAGAGCTGCTAGAAGTCATCTGGAACATACCCGTCCCACCCGAGTCCCTGTGTCTCTGGGTGTGTGTGCCTGGGGGCTAGGCCGAGTAGAAGGAAATGGATAAGGGGCTTCCCGGCAGCAGAGAGGCACCTCCTCCCTCCCTTGCTCTCCCACAGCCGGTGGAGATCAGCGGGGCCATCGAGGAGGAGTTCACTGTGGCCCGACTCTACATCAGCAAAATCAAATCCGAAGTCAAGTCTGTGGTTAAACGGTGCCGGCAGCTGGAGAACCTCCAGGTCGAATGTCACCGCAAGATGGAAGTGACTGGGCGGGAGCTCTCATCCTGCCAGCTTCTCATCTCCCAGGTGAGTGCAGAGGTCCAGAGCCTTTGGGTGCCATGGGAGAGGACGGGCAACTCTGTGCTTATGGGGTAACTCCTAGCACCCATGTTTATGTCAAGAGCCTAGGGTCAACTGAAGTCAAGGACAGAAGAGCTGGGGGGAAGCGTGAGAGGGTCCAGGCTAGAGAAGTGAAGGATCGGGGGGTACTGCCCTCTGATCCAAGAGGGTCTAAAGGAAGGGTCTCCAGGGGAATGTCCCTCGACCCTGCATCCCCATGGGAGGTGTAGCAGGAAGGGAGGAGAGCTGGAGCGTATGGAGGTCTGCACTGCCTGGAGTTGGGTCCTTTGCTGCATCCATCTTCTTCCTCTCATGAACCCTCACCCCACCAGCATGAGGCCAAGATCCGCTCCCTGACGGAATACATGCAGAGCGTGGAGCTCAAGAAGCGGCACCTGGAAGAGTCCTATGACTCCCTGAGTGATGAGCTGGCCAAGCTCCAAGCCCAGGGTGAGGCCCTCTTAAACGTCCAACCCCCCCATCCTGGGATCTAAGATCGCAGAGGGGACAGGGAGGGAAAGTGACAAACATCACAGGAAACCACCCAACGGCACACTCACCAAAGCATTAGACTGAAATCGTGGAGTCCAACTCACATGCCGCTTAGCACGCTTTTGCGCGTAGCTCAGCTTCCATGAACCATAAACCCTGCATTGTTCTGTGTCCCTGCTGTATGAAATTGGACCGTCCTCACCCAGAAGAACATCCCTGTGGGCCCATTCTGGGTGGACGTGCCTTGCTGTGCCTGGAGCTCTGGTCACAATGTGAAGTTCTGTCCGGAGGAGGTAGGTCTGATGTAAGCTGTCTTCCCCTCTCTCCCTCAGAAACTGTGCATGAAGTGGCCCTGAAGGATAAGGAGCCAGACACACAGGACTCAGAAGATGTGAAGGTGAGTGGGGAAGGCGTGGGGAGGACTGGAGCCCAGCAGGGCTGTGCTGGTCCTCACTGAGCGGGTGTCTGGGAGTCTAGCTTTGAGCTTGGGGTGGGGTTGTTTGCAGAAGGCCCTGGAGCTGCAGATGGACAGCCACCGGGAGGCCCATCACCGGCAGCTGGCCCGGCTCCGGGACGAGATCAATGAGAAGCAGAAGACCATTGACGAGCTCAAAGAGTAAGAGTTCCCCAGGGAGGCTCGTCTCCACCTGGTCCCCTCCCCTTGCTGTGCCTACTCAGATGCTCCCTCTTGCACCAGGATCCGGTTCTTTACCTTCCATGTGTCATTCCCCTGACAATGACACGACTTTGCAGCCCAACTCCAGGAGGTACAAGGAGTGAGGACTAGTCCCTATCTGCAAGGCTATTCTGATTAGATAGCTCAGGGCCCCTCACCCTGTCATGGAAGCAGTGGCCTGAGTCTGCCTCTGATACCCGAAGGTATAGAAGAAGGAAAGTGTTTGAGGAGCTGGGCTTCCCTTTGCCTCTTGCTGATGTCTTTTTGTTCTCCCCAATACCTCTTTGCCCCCCCGCAGCCTGAATCAGAAGCTCCAGTTAGAGCTGGAGAAGCTTCAGGCAGACTATGAGAAGCTGAAGAATGAAGAACATGAGAAAAGCACCAAACTCCAGGAGCTGACGTGAGTGACGGGTCTGCCTGCAGACCCTACTCAGACATGCTGCAGAGGCAAGACACAATCTAGATGTGAATATGGTGACCACAGGAAGCAAGTGCCTCAGAAGAACAGTTCGATGGGGTGGGGAAGAGGGAAAAAGGGAGGCTTCTGTTCAATATTAGCAGACATGGAAGGATGTGGGGGATGTTTTGTGACGTGTAAAAAGCAGGTTACAAACAGTAGGAATGGTGTAATCCCATAACAGTTATGTGGGATATGCATGCATGGAAGAGTCTGGAAGGATGGACACCAGAATGTTCCCGGTGGTTTGATCTGTAAGTAGTAGAATCATGGGCTTTTTATGGAACTCGTTTACTTATCTTTTTTTTTCTTTTCTAATTTCTGCACTGTGAACATGGGTAACTTGTGTAATATATAATAATAAAATATAGATCAAAGGAATGGAGGAGGGAGGAGAGAGGGAGGCAGGGAGGCCCTGAGGGATTCTTCTGTTTTCCCTCTTCCTCCAGATTTCTGTATGAGCGACACGAGCAGTCCAAGCAGGACCTCAAGGGTCTGGAGGAGACAGTTGTGAGTGGTTTCCTTCTCTGCCAGGTTAACAGGGTATGGGTGGAGGGCTTCAGTTCTTCCTCCCGATTTCTTCCTAACCCCATTCCTCCTAGCCTTTCTGCAAAGTCAGTCTGTGGCATGATCAGGACGCACCTTTTCCTAAAGGATGAGTGACTCATTTGTCTAGAGAGACTGAAGGGTCCAGTAATTTGGGAGGGGGAACGGTGACCGGGTATTTGGAGGACCCCAATTTTTCATCATTGTTTCCAGGCCCGGGAACTCCAGACCCTCCACAACCTTCGCAAGCTGTTCGTTCAAGACGTCACGACTCGAGTCAAGAAAGTGAGTGCCGTCTCGGGGTCTCCCCAGCCCCCATATCCTCCCCCTTTCCCCAGGCTTCTCCAGACCCTGTGGCCTTCAGTGGGGCTGGCTGGACCTGGTCTGGGTGGGACCTGATTGGCCTCAGGACAGCCACACCTTTCCCCTGCCTCTGTCTCTCATCAGAGTGCAGAAATGGAGCCCGAGGACAGTGGGGGGATTCACTCCCAAAAGCAGAAGATTTCCTTTCTTGAGAACAACCTGGAACAGCTTACAAAGGTTCACAAACAGGTAAGAGTGAGGGTAAGGGGTGAAGAGAACTCTTGAGGCCGGGAGCCTAGGATACCTAAATCTTTGGAAGCCCTTGGATTTAGGAAAATCTACTTGCATGTTTTCCTTACTTTTCCCTTTTCCCTTTCCTACAAATCCCTTCTTTATCCCGTATTTGGTTCCACTTTTACCTTGTTCTTGGTTCTATGCCTGTTTTCCCTTTCCCAAAGCTCCCAGCCTGCCTCTGCTCAAAGTGGAATTCCCCAGGCCTACGCTGTTGGAGGGAAAGGTTGAAACTGATAGAGGTTTCAGAGGCATGGGGCCGTGACCGTACACAAGGGATACTGGTCAGACGTTAGCCAGAGACGGAGAGCAGAGAGACAAGAAGTCAGGAAGCTGGGCTTTCTCTCATGGAGAGGACTCCCTCTGCCTAGGCCTGGGGCAGGCACACAGGGCAATTACATGATGTCCTCAGACGGCCCAACTGGCCCCTGGTCAGGGCCAGTGAAAACTCCTGTGTATTAAGTTGCTGCCTCTCTATCCCCCTCCTTGCTGCTGCGGTTCCTTAGGTGGAAGACTGGGTTTCAAAGGTATGGGGTGGGGAGGTGGAAGGGGCAGTCCAAAGGAGTCAGGACAGGAAATGTTTGGGGCATACATAGAAGGATCACCCTGGCTAGCGCCAAATAGCTGAGCCTTGAAGACAGATGCAACAGACTGTCAACTGGCTCTTTTAACTGATTCGTAAAATAAACCCTAACCTATGCTTCATTCCCTTCTTTTCGAATCCACCTTAAAATTCGTTTTAAACTCACGTTCTCATTAAACTACAGCTTCAACTTCTTTTCTTCCCAGTGCCATACCCAGCATATATAGTAAATACCCAGTACATCTTCTTATTTTTTTAAATAATGAAGAAAATCCTAGAACTGTGGCCCAGTGGTAGTCCACAGGGTTTATTTATTTTATTTCGACCTGCAGAGGGCTTTAGTACCATCTTTCCCCCTTTACCTATTATAAAACAGTGTGAACAACATTATAGAAAAGTTGAAAGGGAAGAAACTTTTGTAATCGGTTTTGTCATTCTTTTTCATTTCTGTGTTCATTTTCCTTCTTAATCCAAATGCATATTAGATTGCTTTTTTTCCCCAATTTTTGTCATTGTAGTAAAGTACACATAACATAAAATGTATGACCTTTAATCATTTTAAGTGCACCATTCGGTGGCCTTAAATCCATCTGTAATGTTGTGCAGCCATCACCACCATCCCTCTCCAGAGATAAGTCTTTTCATCCTGTAGAACTGAAACTCCATCCCCATTAAATAATAACTCCTCATTCCCTGCTCCTCCACCCCCTGGCAACCCCCATTCTACTCTGTTTCTATAACTTTGACTACTCTAAGAATCTCACCTAAGTGGAATCATCTGGGATTTGTCCTTTTGTGACTTCATTTCACTTAGCATAATGTCCTCCAGGTTCATCCACATTGTGGCACATTTCAGGACATCACAGGCTGTTTTCCTTTTCCCCCATGAAGGCTCTGCCTCTGTTCTAAGTCTCAAAGACCAAAAGCTACTCACCTATAGGAGAGAGGACTCCTAATATCCTACCTCAGGGGACACAAGACTAGAAAGGAAAACATGAGTGATGTAGAAACCTCTCAGTCAACAGAATCTTAAATAGCCAGGGCCATAACCCTATTACAAATTAAGCTAAGTTATTGTCACAGCAAAACATTGTTTATAATCTGTAGATTGTCCAAAATTAAAGGGACAATTCTCCCAGTGTTCCCTGCTGCACTGATTTACCTGATATCTTCCAAGGCCGGCTCCTTCTGCAATCTGTAGGGCCCTAGTCATTGTGTGAAACCTTGTAAAAAGATCAGGAAGTCTTTTCTGGATGCATGGTGGTTAATACCACGCTGTAGCTTAATTTAAATGGGGAGAGGGACGGCCCAGGAAATCCTTGAACATGAAGGTAATGAGCACAAATGTTTGTGAGACTTCAAAACATTTTCTTTCCTTCCTATGGGGCGGCCATGTGTGTATGTGTATCTGTGTCTGTGTGTGTGTGCGTGTGTGTGTGGTGCGTGGGCTCCTGTATTCCAGCTTCTGCTCCTGCTCTACACTGCACCTAACCTGCACTCAACACCATCTCCACCCTCCAAACTGCTACTGTGCTCTTGCTGCCTCGCCCTGTGCATGCCCACAGAGTCATCTCTGGGGGAGGGGGAGGGGCCTCATTCCCATGGTTGCCCTGGGGCTGTTGGTCTGGCACCAGCTGTGAGATATTGGGGGGTTGGTGGTGTTTAGGCCAGGAGGAGACTGGAACTCTTGCTCTCCCAAGCGTTCTGGGCTACAGAGGAGTTGGCATGTTTTTGCTGCCTGGAAAATGATGGAACTTTTTAATGCCTGACCACCGTTTGCTAAAGGGAGAAGGAAAGAACTGGCCAGAACAGCAATTAGGTAAAGGGAATGAGGCCTTTGGAGGAAACCACATGGTCTCCACCTTCCCTGACATGACTTTTCCTTATTCTCTCTCCCACCCTCACCCCCGACTCCGCTGCCTTGTTCGCCTCTCTCCCCGCCTCTTCGCCGGGGCTCGTCCCACAGCTGGTACGTGACAATGCAGATCTGCGTTGTGAGCTTCCTAAGTTGGAAAAACGACTTAGGGCTACGGCTGAGAGAGTTAAGGCCCTGGAGGGTGCACTGAAGGAGGCCAAGGAGGGCGCCATGAAGGACAAGCGCCGGTACCAGCAGGAGGTGGACCGCATCAAGGAGGCCGTTCGGTACAAGAGCTCCAGCAAACGGGGCCATTCTGCCCAGATTGGTGAGTGGGGAGTGGGCGTCAACAGGCGTACGGGAGGGATCACTACCTGGGGGAACCCAGCAAATTCCTCAGTGTAACCCCACCCCAGCCTCACCCCACCACCACTACAAAACAGTAGAAAAGTGAATTACCTTACTTGCAACTCAGTTCAGCTCTAGCTAAATGACCTTGCAGGGCAACTGCAAGGTAACAAATAGCCTCTTCACGGTCATTTTCCTTTCTTTGCCGCAGCCAAACCCGTCCGGCCTGGCCACTACCCAGCATCTTCACCCACCAACGCCTATGGCACCCGGAGCCCTGAGTGCATCAGTTACACCAACAGCCTCTTCCAGAACTACCAGAATTTGTACCTGCAGGCGGCACCTAGCTCCACCTCAGACATGTAGTGAGTGACCGTGGGCGGGCTGAAGTCCCAACCCAAGGCTCTCTGCACCCTATAAGGCATAAGACTGGGTTAATTATTGGGTGAGACTTAATTCTTTCCCTAAGTAGCTTCATTTCTAACCCTTTCTCAAATTCACACCTTTGATTAGAAGGTGGGCATCTGCCCTCCCAGCCTGAGGCCATGTTTGTTGTCCTCTGGTCTCTGGGGATGGGGGGGGTGGATGGCTTCATCCCTGAGGGTGAGTGTGGATCAGTGGTCCTCGGAATAGTGGAAGGTGGGTGCCAGAGGTTGCATCTCTCTCCTCTGCTCCATCCAGCTTTGCAAACTCCTGTACCAGCAGTGGGGCCACATCTTCTGGAGCCCCCTTGGCTTCCTACCAGAAGGCCAACATGGACAATGGTGAGTGAAAAAGATGGGTAACCAGCCTGTGGGATCCCCAGGGCAAGTTGAAAAGTATCAGAAAAGTAAGTGACCCTGCACCTACAGCTCAAACACTGCATCCCTTCAGGGTCTTGGACGCTTAGAAGTGGATTCCTCTGGTCACGTGCCTGTCCCAACCCTTCCCTTCCCTTCCCCTTCTCCTCTCCTCTGTGAGGGCTGAGGGAGGCTTTTTCTCAAACAAAATAATGATGCAGCTTGGGGTAGTTTAAGACGAGTGCCACAGACCCAGATGGCAGCTATGTTGCCAAGACACTTACCTCTTTCTCCAAGGGATTAGGATGAGAGAGGGTTTGAGGAGACCGTTAGTAACACCCAATCTCTTTTTTCCTTCTTCCAATCTTGTGTTCTCCATGATGTTCTCTTCAGGAAATGCCACAGATATCAATGACAATAGGTACGCCGGTTGCCACTGCTCTTGGGCTCTCTGGGTGGGACCAGAAGAAATGGTTACATTTCCCTCATGCCTTACTTAGAGGTTCGCTGGAGACTTTGGGGAAAGGAGGAGGAAATGAGAACCATTCTCGCCATCACTGTGTTGTCCAGGAGGTCCAGTCACCCCCAGCCTCGGTGTAGAACACTGTCCCCTCCTCCAATTCTCCCTGTGGTTCCTCCCCATGCCAGCTATGGGGGCTGGGAGAAAACGCCATGGACGTCTGATGACCTGGGTTTCCCTCCTACTTTGGGGAACTTTGTGACCTTGGGCAAGTCAGCTCTATCTCTCTGGCCTTGATTTGCCCTGTATTCCTGCCCTTCATTATCTCACCGGGATGCTGAGAGAGCAAAGTGACAGGAATGCTGTCATTTATACGGAGCTGACAATGCTGTGATTATGCTGGGTCTCTTCTTCCAGGAGTGACCTGCCATGCGGCTACGAGGCTGAAGACCAGGCCAAGCTGTTCCCTCTCCACCAAGAGACGGCAGCCAGCTAATCTCCCACACGGGCTGCTGCATACCTGCACTTTCAGGTAGTTTCAGGCCGCTTCCTCTGACCAGCCTCAGGTTGCCTCCTTTCTTGCCCTCAGCTTCTTTGTTTCTCCTGCTTTTTTTTAAATCATCTCAAAACTTTTACTATATAGTTGTCCCTCAACTCCTGCTGTCCCCTCCCAGGGGCTACATCAGAACTGCCTGGTGTCCCCTAGGCACTGGCCTCCCCTCCCCCCTTGTGCTTGGCCGTAGTGGGAACCACAGTACCGCCTTTATGCCACTAGGGGTCGCTGCAACATGTCAAAAGAAGTGGGCAAGGGCAGTGTCCATCTAGAGCCGCAACACAGGTCACAGAACCTAGTGGTTATTAGGAGACCTTGGGAGATCTCTGTGTCCTATACTCCTCATATCTGTATATGTCACCAATGAGCTTTAGCAAATGCCCCAGGAAGTCTAACTTTTTGTTCGTCTAGCTGCTGTATCAGCACTCCCCTCCAATCTTGCTAGTGGAGGTGGAAAACAGCTGTGTGCCCACCACCTCCAAGCCCCACCTTCACCTCTGTCCTGGGTCCTCTCCCCTGTTCCCTGTGCTCTCCTAGCAGCACAGGCACCTTCCTGGTTCTTGTGTGTCACCAGGCTTCTCGCCAGGTTGCTTTATGGCTCAAAACGGGCACTGGGATCCTGTTTTATTGTCCACCTTGGATCCTTGGAGAACGAGAAACGAGAGAACATGGCCAGTCTCCTAGTGGGCGGCATCCAAGCTGAGCCCTCTCCAGGGGTTTTCCAGGGTAATAGGCCAGGTGCACGTAGGCAGAAAGGCATGAGAAGCAAGCAGTGGGAATGGGGGAGGGAGAGTTAGGGAAGGCCTGTGGGTGGAGGAGCAGGAGATGGCAGGGTGGCGTCTGGCTGTTGATATCAAAGGAACAGGACTGTAAACCCAAGTTGGCACAGATGCCACCCTGTTCCTCTTCAGTGACCGGGCTGCAAGGTGGTTCCTCACAACCTCTTTCTCTTTCTTCCCCAGTTTCTAAGAGGGACTGAGGCCTCTTCTCTCAGCATGCTGCAAACCTGTGGTCTCTGATACTAACTCCCTTCCCCAATCCTTGTTGTCCAACTGTACTATGTATGATGTCTTCTCTTACTCTGTATCTCTTTGTACTCTGTATCTATATATCAAAAGCTGCTGCTATGTCTCTCTCTTCTCTCTGTCATACTCTCTAGTATCTAATGATGTATTTAGCAATTTCTAAGCATAGTATACCCTCCTCATTTGGGGCCATAGGGAGGAGGGTCAGTGTTTCTTCTTCCTCTCCTATATGCATCTCTCACACTGAATGGTGTTAGTCACGGAGATGATAAAAGGAAAATGGGAGCTAGAGGGCTGTGATCCTTCACAAACACACACACACATGCACGTACACAAAGCCTTAAGCAGAAGAATGTCTTGGCGTCATGAGAAGATACAGAAATAGACTCTTCCTCCCTCCTCTTCCACATTTAGCACAGGGGAGGGTGAAATGGAAGGACTGCTTAAATTATACGGTGAATTTTCTTCAGACACCCCTCACCCCAACGGAGGGGTTCTGGGTGTGCACCTCTGCCCCCCGAAGTCTGCCTTTTGCCTCCCTCTTCCTGTGCCCCCTGGACAACCAAGAACATGGATTGCTCAAGGGACCACTTCCCTTTCTCCTCAAAACTCCTTTTGATATTCTCTACCCCAGAGCTCATGACCAGAACCCAAAGCTGCTTAAAATTATTTTGAAACATTGAGGAGGCCAACCCATTTCCAACAGTCTGTCAAATGGTTGCTCATCTGTCCACGGTGAAAGTTATAGCCAAGCGTAAGCAAAATGAGTCCTTCTTTGGCTTTGGGGGTAAACAGACTGGAAAATTCCTAAGTATTTTTTTTGCCACAGTGATGGGCTGGATTCCTTTCTCTGTCCCATATTGGGCTGCATGTTCTTCCCGTCTCCACCTTTTGGTTTGGGGGCTTCCAGTTCATTGGCAAAATAGGTATCTCGAAATGCCTTCCTTTCAAGCTGGAGCCTGACTTTTCCCCGATGATACACATTAAAAAATGTTTTTTTCCAAAAAGAATTCCCTCTGTAATGTCCTCATCTGGTATTAAGTGCACTTTAAAGAAAAGGGCAGGGCAGATTTTCCAGAGGTGGAGGAGCCCAAGGGCTTGACCCAGGGGGCGCCCCCCACTCCCTATGGAATTGACAGGACTATTGTTTTGTTTTCATATCCTGTCCTACCACATGGTGCTAAGGTGGCTTTCCAGGTAACTGCAGGGATGGAGAGTGGAGGTCACAAGCCAGTCCAAATCAAGAAATATAACCTGGTGTCCAGATAGCCAGTCTTATCTGGGTTGGAAGAACAGGGTAGCAGGGCAACCCATCACCTAGTTTCTAAGTCAGGAAAGAAAGCTCAGTGTGAGTGTCAGCTGGTAACTACAGCCTGTATTGGCCTGTGACTCCTTCAAGCGAAAAAGTTCTTTCTCCCTTTACCTGTTAGGCCCTTTTTAGCAATTAAGGAGAAATGCAGGGAAAAAAAAAAAAATACCAGAGGGGTGTAGAATAAATCCAAGGCGGTGATATTCAGACATTTTTCAGAACCAATCTTATACAGAACCCTGACATAAAGAATAGCTAAAAGTGACGCAGACCTGGGCAGTTTGCATTTTTGTTGTTTGGTGGAAAATGCTTCACTAGTTGAGGAGCCCTTGAACAGTCCTTAAGAGACCCCAAGGATTCTGTAGAGTAGATTGAAAACCACTGCTCTGAGGAAACGGGTTCAATCTGGCTCCCCTGCCCCAAGCAAAGAGGGAAAGGGTGCGGTTGGTGAGCCACGCTGTCTCCAGACGCAAGTGGAGAGGAAGGAAGATACCTGTGCACCTGGAGACTTGTGCTAATGTCGGCCAGCAGGGCACCCAAGAATCCAGTGAGCTTTATGTAATCTTGCCACCAAATGACTCTTTTAAAACACAGAAGAAAATGTGAAGGTGTAGGGCAGATGAGGAGAGAGGTGACAGAGGGAACAGCCTTCCCTTTAGCAAGATGTAAGGGAAATGTAATTCACTTACATAAACAAGAAACGACACACACACAAAGCCTTCACCAGAAGCTTCACTCCACATCCCCCTCCTCCCACCCTCTCACCACATTCCTTTCAGAGAGCCAGGGTCTCCACGAGGGGCATCTGGCCTGCCCCCTCACATCTGCCAAAATGTTGCATGCCAGCGTGAAAGACAAACCAAACTGCACCAACCCCAGTGTGTATTTACTTGATGTACATAGATACCTTTAAAATAAAATAAATTCAATGATGGCTCTCCGGTGTTGTAAGTCTTTATCCCTCCCCAGTCTCACTCCCTTCCCTGCATGTAATGGCATTATGACAGCGTGGGATATATCCTTCCAGGTGTTTTTCCATATATTTACACGCAGGCTTTTTTCCCCCACTTGACAATATGTCCTAGAGATCTTTTCATGTCAAGATACATATTTACCTCATTAAAAAAATACATGATTTTTCATAAACGTATCCTATAATTTATTCAACCATTCCACTATTGGTGGACATCCATCTAGGTTGTTCGTAATTTTTAACAAAAAATGGTATCCTGTTTTCTTCACTGTTTTCCCCAGACCACCCTCAGCCCCAGCATCAGTTCCATCCCTCTAGTGTGTCTGCAATCCTCCCTCGCCAAGAGCTCAGCTCTCTTGTCCCAAGATTGTTTACCACAATCACCCTTCTACCCCCCATTTTAGAGCATAGCCCTACCTGTCTTCTCTGCTCTTCCTTCAGAGTTTCTGAGATAAGTGAAGAAAACCATACGACCAAAAGACTAGGGCAATTAAAAACAGCTCCAGAGGTAACTTGACCTTTGGTGCTGATTTACCGTTCCTTCTGTGTGTCCGCGCTGTTTTCTCTCCCACTCTCCAGAGCAACTGGTCTAAACCCTCACTCCTCAAGATCCCTTCTCACCGTCCTCTCTTAGGCAACAACTCTGTCTGTTTTAAAGGGTAAATTAAGGTGACTGAGTGTGTGAAATTCTTCACCTCCCCCCCCCCCACCTACACACTTAACCTCTGTCTATACAGATCCCTTTGCTTTCTCCCATCTGACAAGTGATAAATCTCCCTTCTCTGGACTAAATCAAGGCCCTTCCAGATCTTCATTCCTGAGGTACTTACAAAGACTCAATATATAAAATAACTAATGAGAGCACTCTATTCAGTGCTCTGTGGTGACCTAAATGGGAAGGAAATCCAAAAAAGAGGGGATATATGTTACAGTAGAAACTAACACAACATTGTAAAGCAACTATACTCCAAAAAAAATTAAGAAACTAAAACAAAAAATATATAAAATAACTAAAAGTGATGCAGACTTGGGCAGTTTGCATTTTCTTTGTTAACTTCTGTCTCAGTGATTTCTTCCCTTGTCCTTGGTAAGGTCTCCCTTAAAAGTGTGTTTTACTCTGTTTCTCTATAAGCCACTCCCCACCTTGTTTTCTCACAGCCAAATTTCCTGATGAAGTCCCAGGCTTCCCTTCCCCACTTCCTCACCTCCTAGTCATCCCGCAGCCCACCTGGATCTGGCTCTTGTTCTGCTGAAAGTGCTTTCCAAAGGTCACTAGTTGCCAAAGACAATGGGCACTGCTCCTTCCATGTCTTGCCTCACCTTTCCATGACATTTGACACTGCTCTCCATTCCTTCCTTCTCGAAATTCAACTCCCTTGGCTTTTGTGACCCTGCTCTCCTGGCCCCTTTTACTTCTCTGGCCACCCCTTCTCAGTCTTCTCCCACTAGCCTCTCACATGGTGGCCTATACCAGGGTTCAGCCTTTCCTTGCCCTCCCTGGGAGGTGTCATCCTCACCTACGGATTCTTCGCAAAAATTAAACTTTTATCCCCAGCCCAGATCATTCTGCTGAACTCTGGGCCCATATGTCCGGCTGCCCTCAGGTGCCTCAAACACGGTCCAAATTGAACTCTTGTTTTCAACCAAAACTGCTCCTTTTCATGTCACCACCATCTCTCTACACCTTGGCCAGAAGCCTAGGATTCATTCTCAATGTCTCCCTTTCCCTCAAATCCCACATCCACTAAGGATTTTACAAACTGACATCAAACTATACCTTTAGATGCCAGCCCCTTCTTTCCATCCCAATAATCATTGTTTTAGTTCCTCATCTCGTGCCTAGACTTTTGCAGTACTCTGGTCACCCTCCAGAATGATGCCTGAGAGGTCTTTCTAAAAGCACGAAACCCACTTAAGGGATCTCCTACTTCGTAAAGAAATGCTTTCGGGTTAGCTTCAGGGCGGAGGTTATTCCTAGAAACTGGGCAAAACCGGAAGGCGGCGACTTTGCAGCAAAGAAGTCCTAGACCGAGGGGTTAAATCAGGCCAGTCCAGGCAGCATCCCCTACGCCTGGATGACTGGTCTGGGCCTCGCGGACTGCTCGCAGCCCTCAGGGCAAAAGGCTTCGGTGCGACTCCCCACCGCCAGGTGAGTCCAGCCAACGCGCGGGCGTTGGGGCAGACGTGCGGCCGCCAGGGGCGGAGTCAGCCTGCCCCGCCCTACTCGCGCGCCTGCGGGCCAGCCTCCGGTCACGTGACGGAGGCGCAGGTGAGCGCCGCTTCCGGGGTCGGGAGACCACATCGCGGCCGGCTCCGGCTTTCACTCGGTTGGGTGTGCGGGAGACTATGGCGTCCTCCTCGGTCCCGCCGGCCACTGTACCGGCGCCGACAGCGGCTTCCGGCACAGGTTTCGGCTTCGCTTCCAAAACCAAGAAAAAGCATTTCGTGCAGCAGAAGGTGAAGGTGTTCCGGGCGGCCGACCCGCTGATGGGCGTGTTCCTGTGGGGCGTAGCCCACTCGGTGAGACCCGGCCCCGGCCCCGGCCCCGGCCCCGCGGAGGCCCTGTCCGAACCTCTGAGCTCCTCCGGGCTTGTCTGTTTCCAGGCTCCCGCCTCCGGAGCCCCTAGCGCTGCCACTTTTCCCCCAGGCTGTTCTGGTCTGCCCACCTGCCCTCAGGTGTTTCACCCAGCGTACTTTCTCGCTCTAGACCTTTTTTTTTTTTTTTAACGTAGACTTTTGTCTCTCCCTCCGCCCGTTACTCCTCCACTCTGGTTCCATCTTCCCCAACTGAAATCCAGCTCCCTGCTTCCTTCCAGTCCGTTCCAGCCTCAGGCCACGGAGACCGGCCGGGACCCGGCTCCGTCTGGAAGGACATTAGGGAGAGTAGCTCTTCTGGCTTGGTGGTGGTGAGGTCTCCAGTGAGAGTGTAAGTGTAGAAAGGGAGCGGAGAGGGTAACTGGATGAAGGGAATCGTTCACTTCTCCTTTGCACCTTGCTTTACAGCCGCCGTCAGTGACGTTGGAACCTTGGCTTTGGGGGAAGCTCCAGGCTACCTGGACCTTCTAATCCTGCATGTCCCTTCCTTTCCCTTCCAGAGGTACAGCATTTCAGAGAAGCTACCCCACCCTGAGCCTAGTGGTTGCACTTACTCAGCACTTAATGTATGTAAGCCTTTGGTCTTAATTGCAACCCATTGCTGGCTGGAGTAATGGTATTTGGTGTAAGTGGGGGTCATCTTTGACCAAAGAGCTGGCTCAGGAGCTCTGGTCATGGGGACATTATGGTGGTGAACTTTAGAATCAGGGAACTGCTGTCGAAGGTTGGCCTGGGAATCCGGAGGAGGCCAAGAGGCCGGCGCATCTACTTTCCTGAGGATACCTCAGGTGAAGGAAGCACAGCCATTGCCCCCCTTCCCTCAGATCTGGATTGGAGGGATGCAGTGACCTTGAATATGACAGGCAATATTTTTTAAAAAAATTTTTTTTAATTTATTTATTTTTTGGCTGTGTTGGGTCTTCGTTGCTGCCCGCGGGCTTTCTCTAGTTGCGGGAGCAGGGGCTACTTTTCGTTGCGGTGCGCGGGTTTTTCATTGCGGTGGCTTCACTTGTTGTGGAGCACAGGCTCTAGGCATGCGGGCTTCAGTAGTTGCGGCACGTGGGCTCAGTAGTTGTGGCACATGGGCTTAGTTGCTCCCCTGCACGTGAGATCTTTCTGGACCAGAGGTCGAACCCGTGTCCGCTGCATTGGCAGGCAGGTTCTCAACCACTGCACCATCAGGGAAGCCCCCAAGCAATGTTTTAAAAACTCA